TTATTTTTTTCTCTTGCAATTATATAAGACGATATTTTCACCTTTCACCTCATTTTTGAGCTTTAAATTTTTGCTATTTATTCTTTTTATGATGTTGCCCATATTAGTTGTGCAACTATAACTTAATTTGACCGTATTGCAGTTAAATAATTCATATACTCCGGCGTATTAGGAAAGTGCTTATCTGATATATTGAAAAACATCTTCCTTCTGTTTATTTTACCTGTGTGTTGAAAGGTGGGTTAAACCAGATTATTTTCCTCTTTCGTTTATTAATATTATCATTTCTCGGGTTCTTCTGTCCTTAACATTATTACTACATACTATATAGAACACATGATTTATTTACATATTGCTATATACAATATAGAATACAGGATTTATTTATATATTACTATATGCTATATAGAATATAGGATTTATTTATATATTACTATATGCTATATAGAATATAGAATTTATTTACATATTACTATATACTATATAGAATATAGGATTTTTTTTATATATTACTTTATAGAATATAGGATTTATTTATATATTACTATATGCTATATAGAATATAGGATTTATTTATATATTACAATAGAATATTGGATTTATTTACATATTACTATATACTATATAAAATATAGGATTTGTTTACATATTACTATATAGTATATAGAATGTAGGATTTATTTATATATTACTATATATTATATAGAATAGAGAATTTATTTATATATTACTATATATATATATATATATATAGAATATAGGATTTATTTACATATTACTATATACAATATAGAATAGGATTTATTTATATATTACTGTATATTATATAGAATAGAGAATTTATTTATATATTACTATATACTATATAGAATATAGGATTTATTTACATATTACTATATACTATATACAATATAGGATTTATTTATATATTACTATATAGAATATAGAATACAAGAAGTGAATACAAATGAAAATTATAAACAATGTTGTAAAACTCATATGGTGGTGAAATATAAAAGATATGATTAAAATGTCACAGTCATTTTTCGAACACCTTGTATAGACGTAACAGTTCTCCATTAGGCTATTGTCTCGTGGGATAATAGGCTAATGCATTAAAGATGGCGATTCAGAAAAATGGATGAAACTAATTAATGATGTTCGAGTTCACTTAAAAGTGAAGAAATGGATTTTGCATTAGGATTTTTGTAAAATCTACGATTTCTTTTTTTTTCTTTTTTTTTTTTATAGAAACGAACACGTTATGAGTCTATTTCCATCAGCCGGTGTCTGCGAACGTCTCTTCAGACCCAACGTAGGACTCATTTCACACAGAAGGAAATGTCGATGACACCGTCATACTCATCAACGAGTACCGTCACGAGTATATATATATATATATATATATATATATATATATATATATATAGAGAGAGAGAGAGAGAGAGAAAGAGAGAAAGAGAGAGAGAGAGAGAGAGAGTGTGTGTGTGAGAGAGAGAGAGAGAGAGTGTGAGGGTGTCAACAAAATCATTAGACAAATAGAAATTTCTAGGCGCAAAGATCCTAGAAAACATTATGACTCCCCACCGATTTCGATGGACCGGACATCTTGTCTAAATGCCAGACAGCCACCTCGCCAAACAAATGTAAACAACCGACTAGCCTAATAGATTAAAGATTGGGGGTCAGAAAAATGGAAGTAGTAGTTAATGATGGTCGAGTTCACTCAAAATAGAAGAAACGGCTCTTTCATTAAGATTCTTGTAAAATCTACGATTTCTTTGTTGGAGAAACGAACACGTTATGAGTGCCGTCCTATCATCCGGTGTCTGTGGACGTCTCTTCACACCCAACGTAGGACTCATTTCACACAGAAGGAAATGTCGATGACACCGTAATGCTCAGCAACGAGTTCCATCAACGAGTATATATATATATATATATATATATATATATATATATATATATATATATATATAGAGAGAGAGAGAGAGAGAGAGAGAGTGAAAGAGAGAGAGAGAGAGAGGGGGTGTCCACAAAATCATTAGGCATATAGAAAGTTCTCTGTGCAAAGAAACAGATCTTAGAAACCATCGTGACTCTCTACCGATTTCGATGGACTGGACATCTTGTCTGAATGCCACACAGTCATCTAGCCAAACAAATCCAAACGGCTGACTAGCCTAGTAGATTAAAGATTAGGAGTCAGAAAAATGGGAGAAAGCAGTTAATGATGTTCGAGTTCCCTCATAACAGAAGAAGTAACTCTTGCATTATGATTCTTGTAAAATCTACGATTTCTTTGTTATAGAAACGAACACGTTATGAGTGTCTTTCTGATAAAAGCAACTTTTAAATTTCTTTCTCTTCTCCGTCTTTTCCTCCTGATATCAGTTTTTACACCTGCCCATCTCTGTTTGCTTTGCATATTCATGGGCCAGCGCACACAGACGCACCTATGTTTCGCCCTTACGTATATTTGAACCTTGGACTAGCTGCCCGGAAGTGACGAGGAGGCCCGTATTATTTATAGATGTTAGCCGCAAGCTCAGAAGGGAGGTTTTCTAATTAACTGCGTAAAAACATTAAAAGCCTGAAAGCGTTTTCGTTCGTTGGACTTATTTTTTTTTCTTTCGTTGTAATCATCCATTTTTTTTTACTAGCGGGTCTAACGACCGACTGACCAAGATGGTTGGCCAGCCGGCCAGTATTTTTGGCAGTGTGTGATCGTTTATAAGTGCAATTGTCAAAAACGCTAGAAGGCCTCGCTTGGTGAGTATTGTTATGTTGCAAGCGCCGAGGGTAAATTGGGAAGAATAAAAAGAGGGAAGACGAAAGAAAAAAGAGAAAAGGAAAGAGTGAGAAAGAATAGAAAAGGAGAAAGGAATGAAAAAAAATAGAAGAAAAAAGTAAAAAAAAGGGAGAGAAAATGATAAAGGAAGGATAAAGAAAAGATGGAAGACAAACAGGAAGAAAATGAAAAAAAAAGCAAGGTAGGAAATTTATGAATAAAATAAATGAAAAGAAGGAATAATGAAGGACAAAATAAAAATATAAAGAAAGGAAAAGAGGAAGGTAGGAAATGAAGGAGAAAAAAGGAAGCAAGAAAAGGAATAAAAAGAAATCAAAAGAGGGAAGAATTAAGAAAAAAGAAAGAGATAAAAAAAGAAGAAAAAAATGAAGAAAAAAGAAATAAGGGAAATGAAAGAGAAAAAGGGAAGTGAGAAAAGAAATAAAAAGAAGAAAGAATGAAGAAAAAGTAAAAAAGGAAGCGAAAGAGGAAGGTGGGGAAGTGAAGGAGAAAAAAGAAACGAGAAAAGAAAAAACAAGAAATAAAAAAAATAGAAAAAATAAAAACGAGGGAAGAAGAAAGATAAAAGAAGGAAGAAAAAGAGGAAGGAAGGAAAGAAAGGAGAAAAATGGAAGCAACAAAAGAAAGAGAAGACATGAAAGGAGAGAAAGATGAAAGAAAAAGAAAGAAGATCAAATGGAAGAAAAAGAGGAAAAAAGGAGGGGAAAAGAAAGAAGGGCCAAAATAAAAAAAATAAATAAATGAAAAGCTGGAAGAATGAAGGAATTAGAACAAAGAAAGATAAAAAGAAAAAAGAATAAAGATGGAAGAGAATGAGAAAAGAAGGGAAGAAATGATAGAAAAGGTAAGAAAGAAAAGAAAAAATCGCTGATAATATTGAAGAAAATGAGAAAGAAAAAAATGAGAAAATAGAAGAAAAAATAAAAATCAGACGAAGAAAAAAGGAGGGAAGGGGAGGAGAAATAAAGAAGGAAGAAGCAGAAATAATAATCAGAAAAAAAGAAGAAGAAAAAGAAGAAGAAAAAGAAGAAGAAAGCGGATGAAAGAAAAAAATGAGTAAATGGGAAAGGAAAATAAGGTAAAAGAAACAATGAAAAGAATTAAAAAGAAACAGAAGAAGTGAAAGGGAAAAGAGAGAGTGAGAGAATCAGCAGGAGGATATATATATATATATATATATATATATATATATATATATCGGGATGCTGGAGGTAACATCAATCAGCTAAGTGACAAACTTTTACTCATATTAATTCTCTCTTTGTCTGTCTCTCTAATATATATATATATATATATATGGAAGAGAGAGAGAGAGAGGGGAGAAAATGAAAAAAGAAAGAAAATGAAGAAAGAAAAAGAAAAAGAAAGAAAATGAAAAAAGAAAGAAAATGCAAAAACGAAAGGATATGAAAAAGGAAATAAAAAAGAAAGAAAATGAAAAAGAAAGAAAATTAAGAAAGAAAGAAAATGAAAAAAAGAAAATCAGTTTGCTAAAAGGAGAGAAAACGCAAGGGAAATAAGAATAAAAATCTTTTGTAAACGAACGAAATTAAAAAAAGAAAAGGTTAATAAAATGTAAGAGAAAAGAAAAAGAAAGATGAAATAAAAGAAAAACGGAAAATCGAATGATAAATTTGACGAAAAAAAGATAGAAAGAGAAAAAAAAGAAAAGGCATGAGCAAAGTAAAGAAAGCAAAACAAAATGGAAAGATAAAAGGAAGGAGGTGAAAGAAAAACGAAAGAAAAGTAATAGACAATGAAAAAAAGAAGGAAAAGAAAAATTTGTTAAAACGAAAGAAAAGGCGAAGAAATTAAGAAAGAAATAAAGGTAAAAAATGATTTTAAAATACGAAAGACAAAAAAGAAAAAAAACAAATCGGTTATTAAATATATATATATATATATATATATATATATATATATATAAGAAAGGGAACACGAAAGATCAAAAATCAAAATGAAAATTAAAAATAAATCTCATGAAAAAAATGACAGAAAAAGGAAAGCTATGAATGAATGAAATAAAGAAAAACAGTGAAAAAAAAATAAAAGGAAATCGTTAAAAAAGAAAAAGAGAAATAACGAATAGGCCAAAAGAAAGAAAGGAAAAAAAACTAAGGAAGAAAGGTAAAGAAAAAAGAAAGATTAGTGAAAAAAACAATAGAAAGAAACGACAGAAAAAGAAACATTAGTGAAAGAAAGAGTAAAAGAAAACTAAAAGAAAATGAAAAAGAAAGAGAAAAAGAGAGAGAAAAAGAAAAAGAAAGAAAATATGAAATCTGAAAATGAACGAAAAGGGGAAAAAGAAAATAAAAGGAAAAGGGAAAAAGAAACGGAAAGAGAAAAAATGAAGAAAGGAATAAAGAAGAAAAAAATTACTACGAAAAGGAAATACGACCAAAAGATAAAATAGAAAGAAAGAAAATTTGGGAATACGAAAAAGGAAAAACTAAAAAAGAAGCGAATGAAATAAGAAAAGGAAACAGAAAGAAAAAAGAAACTTTATGAAAAAAAATAAAAAGAGAAAAATTAAAAACGGAAAAAAGAGTTGAGTTAAAAAGAATGAAAAAGAAAAAGAAAAGAGTGAAAATAAAAGAGAAAAAGAAAAAGAAAAGAGTGAAAATAAAAGAGAAAAAGAAAAAGAAAAAGAAAAGAGTGAAAATAAAAGAGAAAAAGAAAAAGAAAAGAGTGAAAATAAAAGAGAAAAAGAAAAGAGTGAAAATAAAAGAGAAAAAGAAAAAGAAAAGAGTGAAAATAAAAGAGAAAAAGAAAAAGAAAAGAGTGAAAATAAAAGAGAAAAAGAAAGGGTGAGGAAAAATAAGATTAACAAAAGATGGAAAAGAGAAAAAATGAAAAAGAAAAGAAAGCAAAAGTAAAAAGGGAAAAAAAAGCTAAAAACAAAAAATAAAAAAAAGAAACCTGCAGAGAAAAACAAAGAAAGAAAGAAAAGAAAAGAAAAGAAAAGAAAGACAAATAACGAAAAGAAAAAGATGAAAAATAAAGATTAATAGAAAAGAAAAAGAAAAAATTTGGGGAATGAAGGTGAAGAAAGATAAATATGCCAGAAAGAAAAGAAAAATAAGAAAAAAAAGAAGGAATAGAGGAATGAAGAGACAAAAGATATTGAGAATGAGAAAAACAATGATAAAAGAGAGAGAGAGAGAGAGAGAGAGAGAGAGAGAGAACGAGAGAAGAGAAACAAAGACGTTAAACGCTAAAGTACAAATATAATAAAACAACAACAACAACAGCTAATGCAACTGGAACCAAAACGGGAAAAATATTTACGAAACAATTTGGCCATCGCGCGAGGAATAATACTTTAAAAGATAAAAAAGAAAGAAAAAAAAAAAGACGTAAAAAAAGAAAAAGAGAAAAGAGAGAAAGCAAAGAATTTGCCAAATTCTCTGGAGATACAAAACTGTGTCACCTGACTGCAGCGCAATTTTCTGATAACGCCACCGGGGGGCGTTGTTTACTGATGAATTGACCTAGAAGTAGATTGGAACGCGGATGATATTGTCTTTGACGGGAAATCATAACGATACCTAGAGATGAGTGTCCAGTAACTATCTATGGGCATTTATTATTGACCATTGTTCGGTAGACTCGTCTCATCAACGAAAGAATTAAAATAAAAAAAAAAAATCCGGTATTAATTAAATTAAACAGAATAAAAACCTGGTATTAATTAATAGAATTCAAATAAAAATACGGCATTGGGTTTATAAAAAAAAATCCAGTATTAATAATAACTTTGAAAACATCTGGTATTAAATTTCTAAAAAACAGTTATTAATTATAAGACTTATCCCTTTAAACTTTAATACGAGATTTTTTAGAATTTAATACCAGAGTTTTTAGACGTTAAAACCAGGTTTTTTAGACTTAATACCAGATTTTTTAGACATAATACCAAATTTTTAAAATTTCAATACTTGAATTTTTAGATTTTAATACCAGATTTTAAAAACATTAATACCAGATTTGCTAGACTTTAATACCTGTTATTTTTAGACTTTAATACGAGATTTTTTTCGATTTTTAACCAATTGTTTTTGCTTTAATACCAGATTTTTTAGACATTAATACCAGATTCTTTAAGACTTTTAATCAAATTTTTTTGTTTTAATACCATATTTTTTAGACTTTAATTCCCAATTTTTTAGTCTTTAATACCAGAGATTTTAGACTTTAATACCAAAATTTTTAGACTTTAATGCCAGAGTTTTTTGATTTTAATATCTTATATTTTATACTTTAATACCTGATTTTATAAAACTATAATTAATATCGGATTTTAAAAATTCATAATTAACACTGTTTAAAAAACCCTATTAATTAATATATCATTTTTTAGACATCCAAAATTAATACAGGATTTTAATGGATCATTAATTAATAACAGGCCAGATTCTTTTAGGAACCGATGATCTTGGATTTAAAGATTAATATTTATGATACTAGATTTTTTCTTTTATAAATCTAAAATGAATGCCGGATTTTTATTAACCTTTAATTAATAATAATTTTTTTAGTAATCTATAATTAATATCTTGTTTTTATTTTAATTTTCATAATTAATACCATATTTTACAGTGGGAATTAATAGATTGTAGGTTAAAAAAAATTAATACCGGAGTTTTCTAAACCTATAATTAATAAAAGACTGTTTGTAACCGATAATGAATACACGATTTTAATAAGGGTATAATTAATGCCGGAATTTTATAAACATTTTATTAGTAAAGGATTTTTATTTTAAATTAATAAATTGTTCAGAGTTAAGTCTGGTAAGTGGGGTAGGATATCAATTCACAACCTCAGTTGGTTGATTCAGCTACTGCAGCCTGAACAGTGTGAACGGTCGCGTGATTATCGAGCAAGAGCACACCTGTTGTCAGCTTCCCTCTTCGTTTCGACTTGATTACCTCCTTCAGTTGTCTTAACTGTGATTCATAGTACTGTCCATTAGTAGTTTTTTTCCCATTTCCAGATAGTCTATTATGATTAAAGCTTCAGAATACCCCAAAAAAAAAAAAAAAATCAGAAGCCATCACCTTGCCAACAGTTTGAAATTCTTCAGGTGGAGAACCACAGTGTTTCCACTGGCTTGCTTTGAATTTTTGATTCAAGTTCGAAGTTGCGAATCCAAGTTTCATCTTGAGTTACTAAGTTTGAGTTTCATCTTGAGTTACTAAATTTGAGTTTCATCTTGAGTTACTAAGTCTGAGTTTCATCTTGAGTTACTAAGTTTGAGTTTCATCTTGAGTTACTAAGATTGAGTTTCATCTTGAGTTACTAAATTTGAGTTTCATCTTGAGTTACTAAGTTTGAGTTTCATCCTGAGTTACTAAGTTTGAGTTTCATCTTGAGTTACTAAGTTTGAGTTTCTTCTTGAGTTACTAAGTCTAAGTTTCATCTTGAGTTACTAAGTTTGAGTTTCATCTTGAGTTACTAAATTTGAGTTTCATCTTGAGTTACTAAGTTTGAGTTTCATCCTGAGTTACTAAGTTTGAGTTTCATCTTGAGTTACTAAGTTTGAGTTTCTTCTTGAGTTACTAAGTCTGAGTTTCATCTTGAGTTACTAAGTTTGAGTTTCATCTTGAGTTACTAAGTCTGAGTTTCATCTTGAGTTACTAAGTTTGAGTTTCTTCTTGAGTTACTAAGTCTGAGTTTCATCTTGAGTTACTAAGTTTGAGTTTCATCTTGAGTTACTAAGTTTGAGCTTCATCTTGAGTTACTGCGGAGATTCTCAGGGTCAACCTGGAAGCGAGTCAGTAGTGTCCTGGAAATGTCAACTCTTTTCAGCTCGTTTGTCACCGTTGTTAGGGTCCATCTGGTGGACAGTTTGCTCATCCCCAGGATCTCAGTGAAAACAGTATGGACCGAACCAAAACTAATACCTATGGACTTACCTATTTGCTGGACAGTAAGACATCTGTCATTTGAAATCATATGGTGAACGGCATCAACTTTTTCATCAGTGGTTGAGGATTTTAGACAACAGGACCGAGAGTCAAATTTGTGATCTCCCTGCTTTGCTTGAATTCCGCAGTCCACTTCTTTACAGTTGCACAGGAAAGGGACTCCTTAGCAAGTGTCTGTACCATGACCTCGTGGATTTCCTTAGGTGTCATACATTTCTTTTTGTTGTAACCTAGAGAAGTTTACTGAATAGGATAATCACACGAAGGTTGATAATGAACGATGATACTTAGGACAAAAACAACACATATAAGATTCGCCAGCGGCGCGTAGAAGAAGTAGTCAACTGCTAGAAGTGAGTCAAGTGAATTCCACAATGAATCTCCAACTGCAGGATATCTACCAATCGCCCCCCCCCCACGCGACAAGGTCAAATTTAATGTGGGGTATCCGAGCCCGTAGGCTCATCCAAAAATTCCCCGTAGATCCGGTATAAAACGTGGTCGGGTAGTTGTTTCCCCGAGATGAGACTCTGGCCTACGACATAGCATCGTCTTGGGATCCAGTCTACCCGGAGGCAGAAAGTTTGACCAGCACAGCTGGAGACAAATCTCCAACTGCAGACCAACATACAGTATTTACTACTGTATTTCTATAAATGGGGACATACCCATTATCATCCATAGGTATGTTGCAACACTTTTGTAGATACTTTATGACTGTTCGGGCCTTTGTTTTCTCCTTTTTTAGATTTGTCGCACACCTCTCAACTTTGTATGGGCCTCACCTGCATAGAAATTAACACCGAAATCTGAATTAGTTTTTCAAGTGGTAGTGTGTTGTCACAACAAAAATGTTCAGCTATGGCTCTTCTTTCTGGGTTAGGGTTAGAATCTTTGAACGATCCCCGTAAATATAGCTATGCGTTAAAGAGAGATACTTAGATATAAAAATATTTCAGTATGGTAATGTTAATGTTAGCCGTTTCCCCATAAGGAAACATTTGGCATTCATTAACCGAGCAGCTAGTACTGTTTTCGGTTGAATTAATAAAATCTTTCTCTTAAAACACTTTTTTAAAAACAAGTTTCTCAACTGCAATGGCTTTTATCGCTCTTTCCAATATGGATGGCGGTTTCCTCCCTAACCTTTTGTTTGAAGTGGCGTGCAATATCAACATCTTGATTATGTCATTATTTTCTCTTCAAGTTACATGAGCTATCTATTTTAGTTGTTGCTGCTGTTGATTGCCCTCGAGTGATGTGGTTTCTGTTATTTGGTACAGTTTTTTATTTGTGATTCTGTAGCGCCAGTCCACAATCTTCAAGGAAAGATTATCTTTGTGAAGATCATCAGGCTTTCCTCGCTCAAAAGCTTTTTTGACCATTGATATTTTTGAACGGGTTTGGCGCCAGGCATGGCATCTATACGAAAGTCTCGATCTAACTTAAGAACATGATTCGAGTTTTGAGGATGATGAGTCAGTAGCTGAAATTCTTCGGAGGCTTTTAACACCATTCGGCGACAATGCACTACCTATTATTTTCCTCCAAAACGTATAGCTGGTAATATTATTTTTTCAAAAACATATAACTGGCAATATTTTTTCAAAAACGTATTTGTGGTAATAGTTTTTTTTAAAAAACATATTGCTGGTAATATTTTTTTCCTTCAAGTGCATCGAGGAGTTTTCAAAGTGGCCGGACAAGCGCGTTCTACGGCGAAGGAGCAGGACGCCCGTCAACCTCCACCATTGACGGGAAGATTCAACAAACTCGGGAGATGGTAATGGTTTTGGTTTGGTTTGTTTTACGGTATATTAATCACTATGGGTTATTTAATGTCGACAATTGCTAGTAATATTTTCCCTTCAAAAAATTTATTTCTGGTAATATTTTCTTCTAAAAATGTATAGCTGGTAATTTTTCTTTTTAAAAAACGATATTGTTGGTAATAAATTTTCTTAAAAAAATTATTGCTGGTAACAATTTTTTTTACAAAGTATTTCTGGTATTAAGATCTATTTTTATACTTTCATAGTGTTTTGACCCCAGTTTGGGGGTTAACTATTTACCCATAGTTGGAACCCTAACAGGTGCTACCACCCCGGGTCAGGTTAGACCTGGGAACACCAGCAATTAAGAGGTGGTTCCACGCTCCTCAAAACCTGATCAGAGGCCTTGCTGTTGGACGTAGTTTATCGTCTTACCCAGGACGCGCATATAGTTTATCGTCTTACCCAGGACGCGAATGTAGTTTATCGTCATACCCAGGACGCCGATGAGGTTTATCGTCTTACCCAGGACGCGGATGTAGCTTATCGTCTTACCCATGATGCGGATGTAGTTTATCGTCTTATCTAGGACGCCGATATAGTTTATCGTCATACCCAGGACGGGAGATATTAATGGAGAACCGGCGAGTTATCATCGTTGAGGTGGCCATGTTCTCTGCAGATTCGGATCACTGTTCTTTATTCCTCCTTCGTGCTCACTGCTACACTGTAACAGCAGCAAGATCAACGATCAAGCTCAAACTTCGATCACGTGACCACAATAGTAAAAACTATAAGCACGCATGAGCAGTGGGACAAATCTAAAGATATCTTATGA